GAGCTATACGGTTAGTCGTTGCCTTACTGATCTCGTTGCGAGAGATCCCGCAGATCCTAATAAATACATGAACATCCTGAGCTATACGGTTAGTCGTTGCCTTACTGATCTCGTTGCGAGAGATCCTGCAGATCCTAATAAATACATGAACATCCTCAGCTATACAGATAGTCATCGCCTACTGATCTCTTCGCGAGAGATCCTGCAGATCCTATAATAAATATATGAACATCCTGAGCTATACGATTAGTCGTTGCTTAAATTACTGATCTCTTCGCGAGAGATCCCGCAGATCCTATAATAAATACATGAACATCCTGAGCTATACGGTTAGTCGTCGCCTTACTGATCTCTTCGCGAGAGATCCTGCAGATCCTAATAAATACATGAACATCCTGAGCTATACGGTTAGTCGTCGCCTTACTGATCTCTTCGCGAGAGATCCTGCAGATCCTAATAAATACATGAACATCCTGAGAGGAACACGGCAAGTCTCCCTAGTGCTAACATTGACATGCAACTCCGGTGTGCTATAGCAGCCGAACCCATTAGGAACATCTCACATTAACGGGCGTGACAACCGGTAAAAACTTACGGGGCGGTGAACGTGTCACTCAGCAACTGTCGACTGGAAAATATCGAATTGATTCGTAAAGAGATAAAAATCCACAAATATACTTGAATTAACTAAATAATAAAACTGAATAAGGTATGATTAAATTGCATTAACTAACGAAAACTTTCAAGACGACAATAACCGGTCGTTACAATCGTGTATATAGTTCTTCGTATAATAAGGCATCGTACATAATCCTGAACTTTGCGCTGCAGCGTCGTTGAAGTGGAAACACCGCGTCTGTACGGCGAACGCGCCTGCAGCTGCTCAGAGGGCAGCACATGCATTCACACTGAGATAGCAGAGCGCTGCTCGCCTCATCCCAGTACTGAGCGTCCGACATCTATAACTCTGACTATACGGTTAGCGTCGCCCCTAACTGATCTCTTGGAACGAGAAGATCCCCGCAATCCTAAAAATACAATAAACATCTCCGAGCTATACGTTTATCGTCGCCCTTAGCTGATCTCGTTGATTTAGTGTTAGGGTTATTGGTTGGGATTATGGTTAGAGTCGGTTTATAGTTAGTGTTAGGGTTATTGGTTGGGATTATGGTTAGAGTCGGTTTAATTATAGTTAGTGTTAGGGTTAGGGTTGGTATGAGGGTTAGGGTTAGGGTTTTTGCATCATTCCTTGATATACGGAAAGTCTGGGCCCAAGGATAAACCGACCAGGCTCTCCGACTAGTTACCACGGCGGAGGATCCTCTCGCCACGTAGTGTTAAGCGAGATGGTAACTTGTGGCTAGGCCCAAGGATAGAGAACATGGGTCCCAATAAAACCAATGTGCCTAACCCTAACCCTAATTCTAACCCTGGCCCTAACGGCCCAAGGATAGAGAACATGGGTCCCAATAAAACCAATGTGCCTAACCCTAACCCTAATTCTAACCCTAACCCGGCCTAATCCTAACCCTAACCATAACCCTAACCTATTATATTGATATAATATTATATTTATATTGATGTAAATGACATTGGTTTTATTGGGACCCATGTTCTCTATCCTTGAACCAAAGTCTGATGCAGAAGTTGATATGCGTAGTATCATGCGTTGCATGTCGTAAGATTAGTCCATAAATAATTGTTACGACTGGTCGTAAGAATATAGCCACGGCCATTATTATAACTATTAATTTCCCCAGGCGTGTGCATGAGCCTAGACGGTTTACGCCGGGTCTGCAGTGCTATAGGATTTCAATTGTTTTCCCGTAGTCATGAAATATTTCTTCATCGGATATGACGCGTCGACGGTTGAATTTTTATGCTAACACTAACAGGGCTCAAGGATAGAGAATAGGGATGATATCAACATATTAACGCTGTCTAGGCTTCGATCTTCCGTGTGCCGCCATCGATAACAATTAACCTGCGACATCTGAACATCTGAACATTCGCGATGCTGTCATGTGACTGCGTGTGGCGCCGGCTGAGGGAACGGGTCACCGATGCTCCTACGATGATCTCAAGGGTCAGAATCCCCAACATGCGAGACTTCCACATATACCGTTTGATAGACCATAAAGGTAAGTACGCTGGGGGCAGCGATCGTGTCAATTCAATTCATTTCAATTCAGTTCAATTTACTTTATTTACACTTATGAATTACATTTTGGAGGTATCATATTAGTTCGAAGAGCATGGAAAAGGTTTTACTTCAAATGATTCATTCTCACCCTATTCATCATAGTATAGGCAACCAGAACCATTGTGCATTTGTTGTGCAGACACTTGTCGTAATCGTACAAACGTCCCCCGCAACTGTCTTCAAGTTACCATTGCTATGGTGACGTCATTTCGTGTGTTGTTGTTAGGGGGAGGTCACCTGATGGACACGTACCTGAAGCTGGGCATAGAGGGAGCGATGAGTTACCTGAGACCGTACCTGCCTGTGTACGTGTACGAGACGGAGAGCAGTGAAGCCACGGTCACCTGGGCGTCGTGGAGGAGGTGGAGAATGGCAAGAGAATACGCACAGTCGAGGGAGGTGAGCGAGGGTCGCTCCGCGCGATTGTCGTCTGTTTGCGAGACTCGTTAGATGGAAACCTTGGTTCACTAAAGGCTGTAGGACAGTAGGAGCGAGAATCGTTAGAGGGAAACCTTGGTTCACTAAAGGCTGTAGGAGCGAGAATCGTTAGAGGGAAACCTTGGTTCACTAAAGGCTGTAGGTTTGCACGCAGAGAAATGCTCCACGACAACGCTTAGACACTATACACGTGTACGTGTGTGTTGTACGTAATACATGCGTACTTCGGTGTGTTTGTGTGCGTGTGTTCAGGGCCGTAGCTGAGCGAATACCTAAGGGGGGCAATGGCAGATCCACAATTTCAATGAGGGGGTGAGAAACAGGTGGGGGTCTGGGGCAGCAGGAGATGGTATTTGAGGCACTTTTGAATACATGTACAGCCTTCATTCTGACTACGACAATTCTCTTTTAGTAGAACTTTTTTTTTTTGCTAAAAAATCTAAGGGGCAGCTGCCCCCTTGCCCCCCAGGCTACAGCCCTGGTGTTTGCGGGGCCAGATTTAGGCATAAGCTAAATAAGTTACAGCCTCACAGTCAGTCTGAAGGCGCCTCTCAAAATCTCAGATTTCTTTGCATTTGTTATGTTTTTAAAGTTCTAAAGGGGCAATCCTTCCACCGACCCTGCATGGATTTGTTATGCATCTTTGCGGCATTCTTGCCAAGTTCAGTTCTTACACAGCCTTCTGTTAAAATTTCCAAAGAGTTATTTCTCTGTTAAAAATTGCCAGAGATTGCCTCTACAGCTTCCAATAGCTTGGGGCCTTCACCATGACTAAATCCGGGCCAGTGTGTTTGCCGAGGGTGATCGAGAAAACAAGGTGTTTGTACTGTTCGTAGGAGTCTGCGGAAATTGACCTGAATTGCGAGGCTGAGCTGCCTCCCTGTGCTGCTGACAGTTGGCAGGGCAACCAGAGGTACATGGTGTTTGAGGAACACGGCGTAAGTCTCCTAGTGTTAACATTGACATTGCACTCCGGTGTGCTATTAGCAGCCGAACCCATTAGGGGGAACATTCACAATTAACGGCGTGTGTGACAACCGTGTAAAACTTACGGCGGGGGCGGGTGACGGTGTCAATCAGCAACTGTCGTACGCTGGTAAAATAAATGAATTGATTCGGTAAAATGAGATAAATCCTTTTCAAATATACTTGAATTATTAACTAAATAAGTTAATAACTGAATAAGGTATTGATTAAATTTTTCATTAAGCTAACGAAACGTTTCAAGGACGACAATAACCGGTCCGTTACTATCGTGTATATAGTTCGTATAATAAATGACATCGTACATTAATCGCTGAGATTTCGCGCTGCAGGCGTGTTGGAAGTTGGAACACCGCGGCCTGTACGGCGAAACGCTGCTGCACTTGCTTCTAGAGGGCAGCACATGCATTCACCTGGAGATAGCCGAGGCGCTGCTCCGCCTCTATCCCAGACTGAGTGTCGACATCTATGAACATCCTGAGCTATACGGTTAGTCGTCGCCTTACTGATCTCGTTGTGATCGAGAGATCCCGCAGATCCTAATAAATACATGAACATCCTGAGCTATACGGTAGGTCGTTGTCTTACTGATCTCTTCGCGAGAGATCCTGCAGATCCTATAATAAATACATGAACATCCTGAGCTATACGGTTAGTCGTCGCCTACTGATCTCGTTGCGATCGAGAGATCCCGCAGATCCTAATAAATACATGAACATCCTGAGCTATACGGTTAGTCGTCGCCTACTGATCTCTTCGCGAGAGATCCCGCAGATCCTAATAAATCCCCACATCAAATATAAATCGTCTTGAACCGTCGTTCGCTCGTTGGCGCTCGTAAATATAAGCTTTTGACTGAATTCGCGTCGGCAATAAAATGCGTGAATATTTCGTAGGGGAAGAGTTCTTTATTTCTCATGTACGATGTTCACGCAAACTTTTTAGAGTAGACGTTTAGAAACGAGGGTATTTCTAGGGAATTTTATCTCGGGGGTCATATACTTAGTTGTTGCGACTTGTTGCCAGAGAGGCGTTACTTGCACTTGGACTGGCATGTACGTGTACGTATAGCAGGTTAACGTTCGATGTAGACAGAGCAGTGCCAAAATCCATTAGAATGCATGGCTCTGATTATTATTTTTAAGAACCTATATTGCGATGCCCCCAGCACAGCTGCATCGATTGCCATAGCACTTGGCTACCTAATTTTTCAGTACTGTGCTGTACTGTGAATACTAATTAAATCATGAGATGTGGCAGAGAGAGAGGAAATAACAGCTGAAGATTAACCTCTGCCTCCTCCCTCCCTCCTCCACCCTCTCTCTATTCTTGGCATCCTCCTCTTCTGCTTCGCCAACTCCTCCACCTACTCTCTAAACAGTTCCCCCCCCGCACTTAAGTTACATGTCTACATCGAAGCCTCACGTTAAAACGGTCGTGTTTGAGCGATCGACGGAGCTCTAATCAATCGGAAGTGTGGAGCTGACATCTCCACCTCCGGCCACACACCCACACCCCACCCTACCCCACCTACGCGCCGTCACACCCCACCCTATCGGGCCCCCACCCTACCGCAGGGGTGCGGCTCCCCCCTTACATCATTGTTGCACCGTGATCTGATGGACAGCGTGCCTCGGAGGTGCAGAGCTGCAGTTCCCTCTCGCACCCACCCCACGCCTAGCCCCCCATCCGCCACGGTGTAACCCCAGGCCGACTGCCCGCACCCTACCCCGGAG